GTTTACTTCAAATGTAAAAAGTTTGTTCGCAAACTGTTTGAATAAAGTTGAGGCATAGCTGCTGAATTTAAAAAAAAATATATACTAAGCTAGTAGTAATAATACAAAAAACAAGAATATACTAGTTTATCAGAATACTAATTATATAATAGTAGTATATTAGTATTATGAAATTTATAACTAAAAGCAACTTATATTATAAAATATATCTTAAACTTTACTAATATACAAAAGTATCTATAAATTAAAATTAGTATATATACAATTTATAATTGATATTATATTTAAATATATTTATATTTTAGCAATACTATTGAAGTAATTACTTAAACTTAACTAAATTAAAAATAACTATAAAGTTACAAATATCTTAAGCTTAGTAGTTACTAATTTAGAAGCTACTTATAAAGAGTATGAGAGATACAATAAATATAATATAGTACTTATAGGAATCTAGATAATATAGTATATAGTTGTAGGCTATAGACTACTTTAGTAGATCTTATATAAGAATATATAGTATATATACATGTACTATATATCTTAAGTTTAATTAGAATATATAGATTAATTTGAAATTATAATATAATAATTATAATAGATAATATTATTTTTAATAAACAAATTACTCATCTTAATATCAAAAAAAACTTTACTATTATGATAATAATAATAAACTATATATTAAATCATTATTTAGTTATATTAAAATATATAAATTTTATAAAAAAAATATTAAAGTATTCAATAAACAATCTCTTATAAAATTTTTAGTATAACTGCATTGTATAGCTATTTTATTTATTAACTAAATTATAGCAGAGAACTCTAAGTATCTATATCAAGTAATATAAAAATTATATTTTTAATATATTTAATTTATAGATATAGACATTTGAAGATATATAGTTATATCTAATTGACATGTTAACAATCAAATTAAAAGTTATATCAAAATGCTATAATTGATATTTGCTATAGAGTTACAACTTCTAAGTTATATCAAATTGATATTAAGATAGCTACATTACTAGCATAAGTCTATATTTATAATTTAATTACAAAAAATTACTTTTTAACGTATCTATATAAAGATTATACTTGTTTGTATATATACATATTTGTATAACTAGGTTAATGCATAATATTATGTATCTGAAGCTTAGTACATGATGATTATATATTATATAGTTATATAAATATATATATTCTGTTAAACTAAAATATTAAATTTAGACAAATGTATGAACAGACAAAAAATTTCCAAATTACATTTCTGATATAATCTTTGAAATATATCAAAAATATAATTTTTGTATTACTTGACATAGACACTTAGAGTTAGTTATATATATTTTCGCATGTCCAAAGCTTTTTTGGATATGTTCAACATTAAAATATCCAAAGTGTCCAAGCTGTCCATAGCTTTAAATATTTTAGTAATAGAAATAAAAATTATATAATTATATTCTTTATTTAATTTAAACATTTTTGCTTAAAAGATTTAAATAGATTATCTTAATAAAATTGAGTAAATTTACTTAATTTTTTTGTTCAAAATATTCAAAATATCCAAAATTATGTCCATGTACAATACTGCTTAGGGTCCTCCGCTACGCTTCGGCCAATAAGTAATCATAATATAATACGCTTCGGACACATGATTCTATGCATTTTCCTAGTAATAATAGGTATCACAAAAAAAATACTACTTAAGTGTTAAGATTAGAGATGTTGAATAGCCTATCTGGACTAGGTAGTTTAAGACTAATTCAAAATTTATGATGATCAGAATATTGTCATTGATCAGTAAATTTAACAAGATAAAGCATCGCATAAATACAGTGAGACTTATAAATTAATGAGTGCAGGATTATTCTAAAATTCTGAGTTGGTTCACAATGCAATAATCAGTGGGCCAGAATTAACAAATTTTGTCAAGGTCAATAAAATTTACTAATAATTTATAATAATTCAATTGCTTATATTTATTAACTTAAATTAGAAAAGTACAAATAAAAAAACATCTGATAAATATCTAAATCGGTACTAGATCTGGTTGAGTACTTGTATAATTATTTAAGGACATACTAGAAGCGCAATTAGATGATGATGGAACCTGTAATAATTTATTTGGGGATGAACCATCCAGACCTGAAATTACATCATTTGAAGTCATGCTGGTGATAAGATCTTTCATATCACTAGGCGGCATATTTCCAATTTGTCCAATAATTAGAGCAACTGTTCCAGACACTATAAATAAAATAAATAAAAATTAGTACTGATGCAAATATATATATATATATAATAATAAATATTAATAAATAACAACCATGAGGCGTTGCTTGACTAGTCCCACTAATTACATTGACTGCATTAGGAGCAGTATTCCATGCGGAACGAACGTTAAGACCTTTTATTTTTTTTTTAAAAAAAAAAATTAGATTTCAAATAAGTTCAGACATCATATTTATTGATTATTACCTGGGGCAAAGAGACTAACACATGATCCATAATTTGAGAAAGATGTTACAGAATCATCACTATAAGAAGTAGCACCAACTGTAATGGCAGTAGATGCGGACGCTGGTGAATATTTGCAAGCATCATCATGAGAGTTTCCAGCAGCAACAATGCAATGAATTCCTTTTTCAGTCATTTGATCAATTACATAATTTTCTATTGCCGACTTAGGTGAACCAAGAGACATGCTATTAAATAAAAAATTGTTGGATTTTTTTGCCAAATAATTTCATAATCTAAAATAATAAATGAATTTACTTGATCACCGTATTTTTATTATCACTATTATCATGCTCGTATGACACGTATTCTAATGCGGTTATAGTATCAGAAACGTAACCGGTACCAAGATACGTAAAAGCTTTAACTGCTATTAAATTTACATTCTTTGCAACTCCAAGATAACTTCCTGAATAAATATAAATTATATCAAAACATCGCAATCTTATAATTTCCCGAATATTTAAGTGAAACATTACCTCCAATCTACCATATTGATAAAATTGTATTTAAAATTTTAGAAAATCACAATAATTTCAATCCTGAGTATATAAAAAATTAAAATGATTATGATACTTACAGTTCCTGCAACATGCGTTCCGTGTCTATTTTTATTTTTAAAAAAGAGTTTAATACATAGAAATTGATCATAAAAATCAATATAAATGAAAAATACCCGTGATCATCAGTGTCTGGACAAGTAATGCTGCCACTACAGAAAGTAGCTCCCCATGTTGCTCGACCGTTGAAGTCAACATGATCAATTCTGATTCCACTTTTAAGTAGAAGAAATGCTTGTAACATTTACTAAGAACTTTTATTTACTTTAATTAGTAATAGACGTAATAACTTACGAGTCAATGACATAAACATTTACTCCTTGACCAGAAGAAATAGGAAAATTGTAGAATCCATCTAATGGTAGGTTTGGTTGGTCAATACGATCTAAATTCTATTTTCATATAAAAGTTTCATAATTCATTAATGTTAAATTTCTGTAACATTAAAAATTTATTTTACGAAATTTTCTTACGTATATTTCAAGACTGGAAAAATCAGTAGGTTCATTATAAAAATCACATCCAAAGTCATATGTGAGTTTAACCTCAGAATCTTCTTCGTAATCTTCAAAACCTTCGAGACCGGCCAAATATTTAATATGTTCTGGATCAATGGATACAATATAACCACTAAATTTTCCAATATTAATTGTTTTAACTCTATCTTTATTCGATTTTGCGGTGTTAGTATTATTTTTATTCGATTTTGTGGGATTATCTTCGATAGTTTTATTAAAACAATTTTTCAATATTGATAGATGTTTATCTGCTGCGCTTTGAGAAGAAAGTTTTACAATGAATCTTTTGGGGGTTCCACCAGAATTTTTCACAGGTTGAGGACATGATGTTGGCATTACTAATGATGATGTTGCTGAAGCCGGTGTTGATTCAACATTGGTAGCCTTGGGTAGTTCATTATTAACTGTGGCATTTGGTGCAGAGTTGACAGGTGTCGATTTAACTGGTATTGAATTAACTGAGATTGTTTGGGATGCATGTTTAATTTGAGTCGATTTAGGTGGTGCTGATTTAACTAACACGATAAGGTAAATAGTAATAATAACTGAAATAATTTTAGAAACATGCATATTTAATTATTAAATGAAGGGTATTAATTAATGGAAAGTGAAGGTATTTAATTCAATGCCGAATGAGAAGGATGAAGAAGATAATGAAGTTTTTGTTTGATATTTATAATTCTTCATTCTGTTAGCTTAATGTTCAAATGCATTTTGCTTAATCGGATATTGTTTCTCTTGTTTATATTAATGAAATTAATTGCATAAAAAAAGAAATGCGAATTAATATGATTACGTGTTGATTTATATTGAAATACTGAAAGTTAAGGCAAAATATTACTATTATATTATTTCCAAATGCAGTAATTTTTCATTGACGAGCATATGCATACTAAAGTTTTATGATAATAGGTTTATACAAGAAAGGCAACCTAATAATGAATATTTATGCAATCAAACCCCTAAGTGCGATACAAAAAAGATTATAGCAAACAAGGTTAATGGATATATTAAGTGAGTTATTTAATTATATATTTAATGAAGATTATCTATATATGAAAGTTCATATTTTTAATTTATAATATCTGTCTATATTGTGAGGTTTAACAACGTAATTCGGATAAGCTGCGGCTTATCACGTTTGATGCGGATCAGTTACTTGATATGGATAAGTAACGTGATTAGCTGGTCACGTTCCTTCCGGAACACAAATTGGTGGGACAAGTCGCATACGTTGCATTCGTTGCATATGTCGCATGCATCGCATGCGACACATATAACGAATGCGACCTATGCGAAATATATGGGATATA